TAGGGCAGTTAAAGTGGACTCAGGTTGCATTATTTCTGGCAGTCTGCAAAGGCCCTTAATTACCAGGGGAAGGAATTGATTACCGGTACATATTATTTATTTATAACTATAAATAGCAACCCTCTCTCCTGTATAATTGGCTGTCATGCCATGTTTTATAACAGTACATAGGCTATATAACGTAGAGATAACTAGTTATTTTCTTCTGAGCTCTGTATCATATTTAATGTTGTCACAACATAGGCAGGAGAACCATTTATGCAGGGGGACTTTCTTTGTGATTCCCTTCCTGGAATCAACAGAACAGAATATCTGTATATCAGGTCTGGTATAAAGTTGCATTATCAGTGAGGACAGAAGGGATAGAGGACATGGTATGCATGCTCTCTTCCCTTGTGCCACCCATGTCTCACCATCACAGTTGAAATATGCTGCTGGAAATTATAAGATGTTCAACTGGCAGTGGTGGATCTTGCATTCTGCCCAGAGCTTGGGAAGATTACTCTTTGGACTACAACTCCTACAAGGGAATTAGTAGTCTAAAAAGATAGCTTTTCTGACTGTTGACAATTGTGCAGTATTCTCCTTCAAACCTGAGGCAGCTGGCTAGTTTAGGAGGCCCAGGCCATATAGTGTGGGATACACAGCAATAGCATAGGGATAGCATTTACATTTCTATACCACTTATCAGTGAACTCAGCACTCTCTAAGTCGTTTACAATCTGTAAGCAAATTGCCCCCAACAAGCTGGGTACTGTCATATCCAAAAGGTTATGGATCTGTCGTGATAAAGGATATGAGAAGGAGGGAATAATGATGTGGTGAGATAGCATAGAATCATAGAGTTGGAAGAGACCACAAGGGCCATCCAGTCCAACCCCTTCTGCCATGCAGGAACTCAAAAGTATACCTGATAGATGGCCATCCAGCCTCTGTTTAAAGACCTCCAAAGAATGTGACTCCACCACACTCCAAGGGAGTGTGTTCCACTTTTGAACAGTTCACACTATCAGAAAGTTCCTCCTAATGTTGAGGTGATGTTGAGGTAATGTTGAGCAATATAGAAAAATAAAGAAAAATAAAAGAGGGGGTTATAATCCAAATGAAATACAAACCAGGGAACAGATGGGTGATAGCAGGGGCAATTGATTGGCTTTATGACCCTGTTTACTTCCTAAAACAAGGCTCTGATGGCAAATAAGAGGACACCTTCCTTTCCTGGGATAGATGCGGGAGACGGGGGAGCTGGGAAATGTGGAGACTTTAAAGCACTTTTTGATGTAGTTCACAAGGTACTGACCATGAGCTGGGAAAGGAGGGGCTGGAGAAAAAGCCTTAAAGGGTGAGTCTTTTTTTTGGGGGGGGGGAATCAGAGTTGACACTACCACGTCTGTGGCTGATCTATGTCTTGAAATCCAAAATAAATAGCTAATCTCACTATTATGATGTCTTGGTTCTTCAAGTTTTGGCCTGCTAATCATGACACTGTGTCAAATCTCCCTCCAACATCTCATACAATGCAACAGCATTTGGCCTGGGGGGCCCAGCCTGTGAAGGGTGAGGGGACTCTGACCCGGGAGCCAGAGCCAGAGTGAGACAACCCCAAAGAGATGAGGGAGGCACAGGGAGTGGCGGGTGACTTAAGGAGAAGCTCCACTGGCAGTGTGAGGACGCATGGAGGAATGGTCCCTGAACTACGAGGACTGGTCCTCAGGCAACAAAGACATTTCAGGATGGAAGATTGGCTTAAGGAGCCAGGACTGTAGAGAGACGGGGAGGAGGGTAAGTGGTTCCAGGCCCCAACCCCCACAGGACCCCAAGATGCTGAGGGAGGCACAGGAAGTGGAGAGCAGCTTTGGGAAGAGGCCCATCAGACAATGTGGAGTCAAGCAGAGGAATGGTCCTCTGGGAACAAGGACACAGTGGACTGGTCCTCAGATGAGGAGGACGATGTGGAGACAGAGGATCGGCTGTGGAAAGAAGTAATAGATCAGCTTCAGGAAAAAGCCCATCTGACCATGTGGAGTTGAATAATGATCTACTGGGGATGAGGATAAAGTGGAGATGGAGGATCAGCTTTGGGACGAAGTCCAGGAGAACCGTCTGGCCTACATGGAGAACGACGAGTGATCCTGGACCCCGATGCCCAACAGAAGCCCACTGATGGCATGGAAGCAAATGGCCATATGGTCCTTGGAGGACAAGGTCACCAAACACTGGTCCTCTGGTGAGGAGGGTGATGCATGGATGGAGGACTGGCTTGGGGAGGATGCCCAGCCAGCACTGTGGGACAATGGGAAGGAGGACAAATGGTTACAGACCCCAATGCCCAACAGAAGACCACCAATG